ATGAGTTTTCAAGGCAAGAAGTGGGGCAACTCTCACCAAACCTGTCGATATAAACACCACTGTGAGTACTTCCCCTGGATTTGCGCAAAAACTACTCGTTGCTTTTCCTGTTCACCTAGCAACTTTCAAAGAGCTCGCTATCTTCAAGTAACAGTCTATCTTTCATCTCCTGTATCAAAGTGGAAGTTTCCATGTTAATGTTCTCGATACGTCTGAAAGAGAAATGTTAGTGTTCAAATTTGGCACATGTCACGTAACATCACGTAGGGATGACTTCCCTTTATGGTCCACTGAAATGTGTTTTTAAATACCTGGCCCAACTTATATATATAAAGAATGAGGCAGAATTCTCGACCTGGCCCACTTTCTAAAATCTGGGAAGTAGTTTTTCAGTTCATAACTAAAACCGCCCAACTCCCGTCGTAACAATTTTATGGGGAAGCTGGTTGACATTTTCTTTATAACCGGATGTTCCGGGTTCGCACTGGCTCTGTTCTGACTGGGGAGCTATGTGATGTCATTCTAAAGAGACAGCATACTAAACGCCATCTCTTTGACTGACGGGGGCGAGTACCATTATCTATAGTGATTGGCATCTCCGTCTACATTTTGTTTCCGCTACATATACGCTCAACAATAACTTTCTCAGACAAAAAGGTTTTTGCGACTGAATTGAAATTATTTATTTTTATAATCTCTCAGCATGTCCTGTTGGAATTCCAATTCTCTAACTCAAATGATGCTCACTTCGACAACCACAGCTCATAACAAAAAAGGTCTCAACTTCGTCCAGCTCTGCACAACCACTTTAGAATACCACCCCAAAATACGAGGGGTGTGTAACATCGAGCCCATGCAGTTTTCACAGCAGTTATTTCTGAATCACTCACTGACTTTCAAGCTAATTCCGTCTTCACCCACAAAGGTAGAACCAGCTTGGCTTGCATTAACAATGGACTCACTGGGAAAAGGCTAAACCAAACATAGCAGACTACATGATTACCCAGCCTATCAGGAATGACACGAAAGTGCTTTCATCAACAGAGATGCCTATGGCCAGCAACAAAACCGCTAATTACATATGCATGTCAATGTAGTAAATAAAGACATTAAAATACTGAAGTAAAGACGATTAAATATTAGGAGATTCAATTCCAGATAAGCAAATAGATCAATTTTGAGTTCAGCATTAAATCCTTTCTAACTCTTCTTCTAAACTCACTTTACTGCTTTTAGACAATCATACCCGATAAAGAAAATCGATGGATCAATTACAATGGTTCTTCTTTATTTGCTTATTAATGCTATTCATTTGGAACATTTGTTATAATAACCATTCATCAGAATTAAATGAAATTCTCTACAGTCACGGAAATGATAAGACATGCTTAGAAATGAAAGTAAGAGTTTATACTGTGGCTAATTGAGCCACTGGAGCCCGTAAAATTACGTCATTTGTTTTTGAATTCTTCTCTCACGTCCGTTATCTTGGTGATCATCATGTCATTGGCACAGCACAGAGAGAGAAAATAATTGTGTCATCCATCTAAAGGTCAGGAGATCAATTTTATAATCTGCATAAGACTGCAAGAAACCCAATGGAAATACCATAGCGTATAAAATATAAGATTCTAATAATTCTGCTAGACTCCACCCACCGACACCATACAAAGACTTTTAACCAGGAGATGAACAACAACCAGCTAAAGGGCAATTCGCCTATCGATGTATCCCATAATAATAGCGTCATTCACTTTTGTTGCCAGAAGAGTTATTTGCAACTTTAACTAAAATATACGAGCATTTTGTGAGCGACATGTTGACAGAATTACAAAATGTACTATCGAAATACATTTTCATTTCTCTGAGGAAAACTTACTTTACAGGAGACAAACACATTTACTTTCGAATAATGACCAATTAAAACGAATCAGCTAAGAGAATATATCTGTTTTACGACATATCATGTCTTGTTGGGTAATTTAATGCTGAAATCAGTTTTTATTATCATCAGTTTTTATTATAATTGGTCGTATAGGTAAATAAATATCAAAATCAGTTATCTGCAAACTAAAATGTTTCAGTATTGTCACTTGTTTATATTACTTAATGATTCAACACGAAACGGAGAAATAGTCCAAATAAAACTGTGTAAAACACAAATTTTCTCGAACACTTATATTAAAAACGACCAAATATTAATATGGGATGTTTTCAAATATATTTTCATGTCGAAGAAATTAAGCTTATAACCAAACCCTTCAGAATGGACACTACTTCTTCGATTATTAATCTTTTCATATGAAGCCTTTGGCTTTCTGTTGAGAAACAGACAATTCAAATCTTGAGGTAACCTATTTATTATGAAGGCTCCAACAGCAATTATTGAAGAATTCATTTGAGCTCTGCAGACAATCATTATAATTGAATCGGCTTTTGCTATAGATTTGAAGTTATTTGAAAATTCAATCATATGCTACACAGATATTTTAATTTCTGGTATTAAATTTCTATTTATTTGTTTATTGATACAAAATTAAAATTCTCTAGACTAGCTTGTTTGCGTGAAACCTCTTTTATTCTTGTGTTAGATCAATGTTCGTATTTTTTCTTCAAACATTCTCGAGTAAAATTAATTGTTTTCTGTTACCAATTCGCTGTATAGTTATTTCAGATTTCTTTTCTATTTTTTTTTTTTTTGGCCTTTTATGTCAGTTTTAACAGAAATTTTTTTATTTCCTGTTAAAGAGTTGTGAATTTTTTTCCAGTTTAACATTGTGAACTCGTTGCAAATAACAGTTTTCAATAATGTGCTTTTGTCACAATTTTTTTATGTGAACAGATAAATGCAGTATATTTAATTTCGAAACAATTTTTATCTACCTATTGAACTCGAACTTCATCGTCAAACAGTCGGTATCGCTCGAAGTCTCGCTTAATTTCACAATCATTAATTTTCAAAAAAATAAAGAAAAAATACTCGAAAGATACTTACCAAAAAAAAAAAAAAAGGAAACGAAAGAAAAAAGGGAACAAAATCGAAATGTCAATGAAATTACCAGGAACTGTTTGAAGCGAAAACGAGTTCTCTTCCTTTGTCCATTTTGGTAAATAAATGACATCACAGTATTTTTTTTCTGTGATCGGTGATCATTATTAATTTTTTTTTTTCTAAGTTTTGAATAGTATTGAACAATGAACAATGTTTTTTTTTAATGCTGAGGAAATGTAATGTCTTTTTTTAGTTTGAGGGGTATGTGAATTAATACTTATAAAGAATTAATTACAGATAATTTTTTTTTTTTTTAATTTATCGTCCTATCTCAATATTCATTGAATACACATGATATCTTGTTCCATGTGCTATGTCCATTCAAGGAGAGGATTAGGGTCATGGTTTTCGACAACTTCCTATCCCTTGTAGCAATTAACAATATTTGTTTTTCATTAACCTTTCAGTCGCTGATCTGCCATCGCCCATTAGTTAGTTTTCTAGCTACTTCCCTTTCGAATTCTTGTCTTGACTATGTCCAGTGTGTTACATTTTCCAAGCCTTCTTTCTTCATTATGTGCTCTAGAAATTTCAACTGACTTTTTTTGATTCTAAATATGTATAATTTTTGTTTCCATTTTCCCTAAGATTTCATCGTCACTCATATATCCAGTCTATCGCATTGTCAGCATCCTCTGTAGAGGCATGTCTATGTTGCTTGAAGTTTTCTCTTCATTTGTGAGGAAATTCTCCAGCATTTACTGACATATAGGAAGACTGATATTACATAGCAGTTCAACAAGAAGAAATTCCAAAGCGCTTTCGGTTTATGATGTAACATATTCCTTTATCTGTTCAAACCTTTTCTTGACATTTAAATGTCAATACTTCTTTGGTTTTGACATCTCCAGTTCGTAACTCGCATCTTGGGTTTGTTCTCTGACAAATAATCGTATCGTCTGCCTTACTTAACGGTTAGTGTTTTTTCACGCTTTTCCATTTTGTTAACAGAAGCATTTATAGGATTTGTTCCAATGCAAGTATTAATGATGATGATAAAATATTAAAATATCAACTGAAGTCAACTTTTTTCGTGTTCTTTTTTTAATAATGATTTCTCAGTTTTCGATTTTCGTTGTGGCTCTTTTATATACAAATTATGATTAAAAAATATTACATATTAAGAAGTACTTGTTCTAAGACAATAAACAATTATTTGCTTGATTATATTTAGGAGATGTGCGGAACTTGTAGAAAGACACAAACATTATTGTACAGAGTAAATACGCTAAATTATTCAGACAAACGTATTCAGAAAACCTGAATATTTCTCGACGTAATTCTTTGCAAATTCAATTAACTCAAAAGCGTTTTCTTTATTTTTTCTCTTTCTTTAATTAAGAAAGAAGTGTAGACAATTTCCATTCATCATATCATGTGAAGATTTGTATATGTCATATTTATTTGATTATCTGTTAGAAAAAATGAAACAATTATTCTATTCGATGAGATTAGGAACGTACATTCTTCTACTGCAAAAAGTATCAGCTTATTTGTTCGTAAACCGATATTTTGTGTTACAAGTTTTTCCTAAATATTTCATGACGATTCTTTTTTGATATCCCGCCCAATATGCCATTATTTACAATAAATAGGACAATAATTCACAGGGACACCATCTATCTATCCATTCATCTATCTATTCATTCATCTATTAGGTTGTTCCCATTATCATTCATCTATCCATTCATTCATCTATCTATCTATCTATCTATCTATTCTGTTCCCATTCATCATCTATCTATCTATTCATCTATTATATTCATTATCATCTATCATATGTTCTGTCATTAGGTTGTTGTTCCATCTATCTATCTATCTATCTATCTATCTGTCTATTGTTGTTCCTATTCATCTATCTATCTATCTATCTATCTATTCTGTCTGTTATCTATCTATTCATCTATCTATATCTATCAGTCTGTTCCTATCATCTATCTATCTATCTGTTATCTATCATATCTATCTATCCATCCATCCATTCATTCATTCATTCATCTATCTATCAGTTCCCATCCATCCATCTATCTATTCATCTATCTATCTATCTATCTATCTATTCATCTGTCTATCATTCCTATGTTCCTTTATCTATCTATCTATCTATCTGTCTGTTCCTATCTATCTATCTATCTATTAAAAGTTATATTCATATATCTATCTATTCATCATCTATGTCTGTTCCATTCTATCCCTGTATATATCTATGCACATACGTAGATATATATATGTATGTATGTGTTTCTATATAGATATCTATGTATATATGTATATATTTATGTATGGGTGTATATATTTATTCAAGTATGTATCTAGCTATGGATGTAGGTATATATGTATGTATATATGAATTTATGTATGTATGTATATATTTATTCAAGTATGTATCTATGTATATAGGTATCTATGTTTATATGTGTATCTATGTATGTATGTCTGTATCGATCTATGTATATATGCATCTATTTATGTGTGTATCTATCTATGTATGTATGTATCTATGTAAGTAAGTACGTATGTATCTATCTCTGTATGCATGCATATATGTATGTACCTATGTATATATCTATTTATGTATGTATTTATTTATCAATATATGCATGTATTTCTGTATGTATCTATCTGCGTAAGCGTCTATGTATCTATCTGTGCATCTATTTACCTATGTATGCAAGTATGTATGTATCTATTTATGTATGTATGTATGTATATGCACGTGGCCGATTGGACAGAACGTCCCCTCTCTGACCATGAGAAGCGGTTCGAATCTCGGGTCTTGTGGCGCATTTGAAGTGTTGACCTAAGCGTTATGAGTGAAATTGGGTTGACTGAACACTTGGGGAGCTATCGGTGGTTGTGCTCGCATTCGTGACCGAATTTGTTTAGATTGTTGATCACACTAGATAACGCGCTATCTCCAAGAAACTATGAAAATGTCCGCTCAGCATAGTTGCAGTATAATGCACGGGGGCTCTGTGTGGGTGTTAAATAAACAGAAAGGCATCTGCGAAGGGATTAGCTAACCAGCCCAAGTAGATGGTCATGTAAGTATGTAACTATGTATGTGTCTATGTATCTATGTAACTATGTATGTGTGTTTCTATGTATGTATTATATATCTATCTATGTATGTACGTATCTGTGTATGTATGTATGTATGTGTCTATGTAGATGGGCGCAAGGCCGAGTGGTTAGAAGGTTCGTTTTCTGAGACCCAGGATCGAATCTCACTACGGTTGATTTGTCAGGAAGGAAACTTCCTGATGTTATCGGTCTGTTTTGGAATGTACCCGAAAAACCCTACCACGGTTGACCTAAGCCTTGTGAGTAAAATTAGGCAGACGGAACAATGGGGTACCGTCATTGGGACCGAGGTTTTGAGTGTGCTGGCCTTGTTCAGATGGTTGATCACGCTAGATAACACGCTCTCTCCCAGAAACTATAGCTAAGGTCAGTTCAGCATAGTTGCAGTATAAACTACAAGTGGGTTTCTGTTGGTGTTGAACACATACAAGTGTGCCTGAGAGAGCGACTGAATTAGGGATTAACTAGACGCCCTAGTGGACGGGTATCTTAGAATATGAGTGGCCAGATATTATTATCTATCTATCTATCTATCTATCTATCTATCTATCTATCTCTCTCTCTCTCTCTATATATATATATATATATATATATATATATATACATAAACATAAGATTGGTGTCCCAGGAATAAATTCAATAACCAAAAAAATACTATTTTAAATTTCAATACACTTGAAGAGTTAAAATAAAATGGTTATTTTGTGGTGATTTTATAACATATTTATGTGATTTGCATCTAATATAAAAATTAAATATATATATATATATATATATATATATATATATATATATATATATATATATATATATATATATATAAATATATATATATATATATATATATATATATATATATAATATATATATATATATATATATATATATATATATATATATATATATATATATATATATATATGTGTGTGTATGTATGCATGACAATGTTAAAATTGACCTATGTATGTATGTATTTTATGTGTCTATTTATCTATGTAGTTGTATGCATGTATCTATATCATATATATATATATATATATATATATATATATATATATATATATATATGTATGTATGTATGTATATAGAAATATCTGTATATATGTAGGTATATATATATATATGTATGTATCTATGTTTAATCTGTTCTGTTCCCATGTATCGAAATATCTGTTTCATTCTCTTCAGTTCTATCTCATTCCGTTGAACTCCCTATGTATCTACCTCTTTGCGTTCACATCTCTATATGTATCTAATACGCCCTTTTTCTTTTTTGTCTGTATTATTTTACTGTTATCCTCTTTGAACTGGTGGCACAGCCGTATATTTTTGCATGACAAAGCTGGATCCCTTGAAGATGCTTTCAAATTCTTGAGCTGGAAAGACTGATTCCATGATAAGAAATGAGTACCACAATAATAAATGGAACATATATTGATTGACTCAAATGCGAATATCTTAATAGCAAGGATTTGACAAAATATGATTTTCATATACGCTGTCATTTCTTTCGCTTGTTATAAGAATTGCACTGGCACAATCATGTATATCCATGATTGGAAATCTGGAAAACAGGATTTTTCTCAATCAATATTTATTAACAAAAAGAAAGAATCAGTTTTGTCTGGATTCTTTTAGACAAGATACTCCACTCCTTTATGTCAGAAGAAGGCAATGAAAGACAAAAAAATTAGTTTTAACAAAGTAATACGTTACGAAGGAAAGTAACTTATGTTGCATGTTCATATCTTTAAGCTTTCATTCTTTAAGTTTTAAGATTGCTTTTTGTAGTCGGTCATGCTACAAGCCATGCACGTACATACAAATATATTATGCCATCTATAAATAATTATATGCTGCGAGGTTTTAAAGATAATACAAGTAATACATATAAAATGAATATAGTCAGAATAAGGCATCCTCTTCAGAGCATTAGTGAAATTCCTTTTACCAACTTTAACCTATGACTTTCTTATACAAGTTATAAGTTATTAAATGCACGAGCCACAAAATTACTGATGGTCAATCTCATCATTGGCAGACAGAAAAATTGTTCAAATTTCCTTGAAAAATAATCATTATTAGCATTTGAACAGTTTGAGATAAAGAAATGTTTGAATTTCTTAGGATTTTTATCAGATTAATATAAAGATATAACATGCTTTACATCTTTTAATTTGAAAGATAATCAAATATTCGTAGCAATTTACGAGTTGTTAAATTTACCATAAATATATAACTGAACCGTAAAACATTCAATGTGCACGCTTAAAAGAAATAGTTTCTTGATATTAAATCAAGTTATTCAAAATTTTATATTTCAATCATCCCTCGTTTTTCGTTTAATCTTAGAAATTTCCAATTAAGAAAAATTCAAAATGCATTAATTAAACAGACTCTAAAAGATTACATAATACAAAAATTATTTGCTTCAAGTAACTGCTAATTAATCTGACCAGATCATTAGAATTTTGCAATTAATTAATTGAATAAAAGTTTGTTTGAATCATCGAAGATGTGACATACCTCTTCTTCCTCTTTGATTGCAGTCTCCAAATCGCGTTCATCTATTTTCGATAGTAATTTATCCTGAAAAAAAAAAACAATAGAAAAATAGGGATGAAAAATGATAGAAGAATATTAATAAAGTCTTGAAGACTGCAAAATTCTCCTGCAAAAAACGATTACAAATTCTGGAGGCATTTTATCTTAATTGATTGGCAATGTTAACATGAACATTGTTTTGTTTCGAAGAGTGTGGTATAATTGAATGCATTTCTGACAGCATTGACAAGGCTTTCTCTCTCCATCCGTTTGTTCACATATTCGTGTTTGGTGACTTTAACGTCCATCATACCAAGTGGCTTAAAAACGCAACTACTGACCCTGCAGACATTCAAACCTTTGATTTTCAATTTCTCAATCTTTCACACAGATAGTTGACTTCCCCACACGTTTTTCCTACAACCAGGACGGTAAGGCTTCTCTTCTCGATCTGTTTTATCGCCATCCCCGAGTCCTTTTAAAAAGCGCCACGCAAATCTGCCCTCTTGGCTATACTGTTGCTTGTAACATATCAACATCTCCTTCAACTCACCCCCTGCAAAGAACCTATTATCACTAGAACCTGGTTCTATATCAACGAATTGATTGAACTCGTTCTGGGATTATCTTGCGATGTCTCCTGGAATGTTGTTTTTAAATTTTTTTCAAGAATGTGTTTCCTGAATTCTCCTCCTGGGTTAAAGCTGGAATCGAGGCTTTCATCCCCCCTATATAGGAATATATAAGGTCAAATCGCGCTCCTCCTCTTGGTTCTCCGCTGCTTGCTCAGCTGCCATTGCCAATAGAAACCACTTCTTCTACTATATCGAAGGAACATGATTGCAACAGACGTCTCTTTGTCTCTTTCCGTAACGAGTGTAAGCGTGTTCGAGGTTCTGACCTCTTCTGTCGACAAGGCGGAATGCTTTGCTTGGAAATTCTCATTCAATTCAACTCTCGACTCTTCCGGTGTATCCACACCCAATTTCACCCTTAGAACTGAGGCGAGCTGCACATTACCCCGTCATCGGTATTGAGCATTATCTCTAATTTAGACCCGTACAAGGCTGGCAGTGGAGATGGGATACCAGCCATTGTCCCGAAGAAATGTGCGCCTGAACTGGCCCCTGCCCTCTCCAAATGATATAACTACTGCCTCAATGAATCTGGTTTTCCAGACTGTTTGAAGTCATCATCCATTGTTCCTGTCTTTAAGAACGCTGGTGACCCTTTTGAACCTTCTAATTACCTTCCTATCAGTCTCCTACCCTTTTTTGCAGAGTCTTCGAAGCTTTAATCAACGTCGAAGTTGTTAAGCACCTTATATCCCATGATCTGCTCTCCGACAAGCAATATGGTTTCCACTTTGCCCGTTCTACAACTGATGTGCTTACGGCTATCACTGAAATTGTTTACCGGCTTGGTAAACAACTTCATAATAACGGAAAAGCTCGTGCTGTGGCTCTAGATGTCTCCAAGGCGTTTGATAGGGTTTGTCATGCCGGCTTTCTT